GTGGTGGTCTATTCTATTTTTTCAGAATCTGAGTAGGAATGTATGGGCACATATGAGACTTTAACTCACATGGTCTGGTCTTTGAGGCTCTTTCCAGCTGTGGCCTGAGGGAGGCAGGAGCCGCTGGAGGGAATGGAACTGGGTTTGTGGTCAGGCTGAGTGAGGACAGGTGCAGGCAAGGACAGCGGTCAGGCTCAGGGTACCTGATGTATGCTGTTTTATAGAAACCAGACAAGGCCAGCGGTGGTGGCTCATGCTTTTAATCCCAGCACTTGGGAGGCAGAGGAAGGTGAATCTCTGAGTTTGAGGCCAGCCTGGTCTCCAAAGTGAGCTTCAGGACAGCCAGGACTATTACACAGAAAAACCCTGTCCTGATAAACAAAACAAAGGGAAAACACACACACACACACAAAACACCAGACTTGTTGGGAGGGGGAGGGGAGAGGTAGGACTGGTTCTTCTGAATAGGGTAAGAATCCAGAAGGCCCTGTTCTGTGTGCATGAGCCTGGCCTGGGGGCTGTAGTCCCAGAAAATACAGAAAGGCTTGTGAGGAAACCCTGAGTGTTGCTAAGAGTTGTATCCTGTCATTGTCTCAGCTGCTGGCCAGCACATTTAGAAAAATAGCCCCATATAATTTTGAGGTCAGTCTGTTAATTTCAGTTCTGCTCTCTGACCACAGGTAACAAAGCTGATCACCCCAAAGGGTGTCACTGGATGAGCGTTTAGGCAGCACCAAGGAGCCATCGTTGCTGATTTCCATGTCCGAAAGTAGTATATGCAAGCTAGCCCAGAGGAGTCCAGGACACTTGCTCCTACTCTGCCTGGTCTTTGCTTCTAGATGGGCAGCCTGGCAACTCTGGAGTACACGAGCTGCCACCAGCCTGTATATCTGGTAACTTTGCAGTGCACCCCTGCCTTAGCCAGTGCTCTTGAGTCAGGACTCCATTGCTGGGAAGATACACCACGACTCCGGTGATTCTCACAAAGGAAAACATTTTACCAGGGCTGCCATACAGTTCAGAGGTTTAATGCATCATCATCATGGCGGAAGCAAGACAGCTGCAGGAGGGGTACCTGAGGGTTCCACATCTTGATCCGCAGGCAACAGAAAGTGAACTCTCCCTTAGTAGGGCATAGCTTGAGCATAAGAGACCTCAAAGCCCACCCCCACAGGGACACATTTCCTCTGAGGCCATACCTACCTCAACAATGCCACACCTCCAAACAGTGCCCCTCCCTATAGGCCAAGCATTCACACACATGAGTCTGTGGGGGCCATACCTGTTCCAACCATCACAGCAAGCAGCCTGGGGCTCCATGTAGTTTGATCTGTATGTACAATATACATATTTGTATATTATAATAATATATTTGGCAGCCTGGATGATTTACTTGCATGTAGAATATACACATATCTCTGAATAATACACCTAGCAACCTGTTAACAAACCTAGGACCCTCCAGCAATGGATTTCTCATTATATGACTATCAAATTTGGATTCTGTGCAGTCATACTCAGGATGTTTTATGAGAGAGGCTGGCTTGGAATTGACTGCAGACCTGCCTGCCAGCAGGGATTAAAGGCACACCTGGCCCGTACTCTGGTTATGTCCAGGCACAAAAGTAGGGAGGTCAGTTGACCTGAGCTGGTTTTGAGTTCATGTCAGTATGGCATATTCCTTTTTTTTTTTAAGTGAACTTTTAGCTGGGTGGTGGTGGCGCACGCCTTTAATCCTAGTACTTGGGAGGCAGAGGCAGGCGGATCTCTGTGAGTTCCATGCCAGCCTGATCTACAGAGCTAGTTCCAGGGCAGCTAAAGCTGTCACAGAGAAACCCTGTCTCAAAAAACAAAATAACAACAAAAAACAGACCTTGGGGAGTTGGGAGTGACCCAGTCTGAAGCTGTGGTGGTGGAAGTGGTAAGTGGGTGACCCAAGCAGCTCGCACTGTCCTCAAAACCATGCCCCTCAAGCCTGCTCCTTCTTCGTGGGGCCAAATAGATCTCTCAGTGTTGGGCAAAAAGTAGCCAAGTCACACTGGGCTGAGGCAGGGGGCTTCCCACTCATAAGGGAGAAGTTTGGGGGATAGGCTGTAGTTTGTAATAGGAATTGGGGGCAGGCTAGTGTAAAGACTGCATAAGGCTGGAGGCATCAGAACAGGACCAGCAAAGGGAGGCCTGGGCTGTGCAGGCTCTGCAGAAACCGGCCCAGGGCATCCTAGAGGAGCTGAACAGTGGGGTGGCTGGACCAAAATGTTTGTCATAGTGGAGATATCATTTTGGACTTTGGGTGAGGGGTGGAGAAGGCATGAGAGAGCCCTGAGGAAATGTCCAGAGAGCAAACATGTGAGTGTCCTGTTAGGAGGGTGAACGTTAACCATTTCCCTAGCAACTACAGCCTCATGCATAGTACGTAGTATCCACGGGAGCACTGACCCACTGTCAGGAGATGGTCCCTAGGTAGCAGGAAGAAACCCTCAGGTCAGGGCTATTCTTCACTCCCCAACTGAGGCTGGGTCCAGGAGATCTGGCCAGCAAAGAGCAGCACTTCACAGCCTGTCTGTGTCCTGAATCTGCAGCCAGGAAAAGGCCAAAGTTTCCTAGGTTGTGGACAAAGGTCAGCCAGCCAAGTCCTTAGTTGCTGTCATTTCGTGTAGCTTCTGTCAAGGGAGGTGGGGACGAGGCACTGCTCTCTGCCTAGGGCAGCCTGAGGAGCTGCCATTAGCTTTTAGGGACCTTAGGCCATAGACTCTGTGTCCGTGCTTGGACACAGAATAGTATTGAACGGTTGGTCAATGTAAAGCGGACTCAAGGTTTTACTAAACATTTTGGGGACTGGGGAGATGGCTCAGCAGTTATGAGTCCTTTCCCAGAGGAGTTGGTTACATTCCCAGCACCCACCACTCAAAACAATGTATAAGTCATTTTAGGAGATCTGATGCCCTCTTCTGGCCGCCACAGGCACTGCATGCACATGATGCATGGGCATGTTGGTAAAACATCCATAAACATAAATAAAATGGAACTTAATATTTTTGTGTGTCTTTGATGTTGGGGGTGGCACACTTACGCCATAGCCTCCATGTGTACAGGTTAGAGTGTTGTTTTTTAAAACCCTGCGAAGAGAAGTCACACCATACAACAGGACTCACATGGGATTATTGGAAGAGAGGAGAGACGGGGCAGAGACCAGTCCCTGTGCACATGAGGAACAGAGAGAGAGAGAGAGAGAGAGAGAGAGAGAGAGAGAGAGAGAGAGATGGGAGGTAAGCAAGGCCCACCTTTTAAAAGGGAGCACCGTGAACGTGCACAGGAGGTGCTCTCCGTGGCTGCAGCTGAGGACGTATGCTGTCAGGACCCCAATAACAGGCCAGTACAGATGCCTGAGTACTAAGACAGGAGACCTTCGGAGTTCTCTCCTTTCGCGCTATTTCTATAGACTGAACTGAGCTTCCTGGGCTTGTCTGCTGAGCATGTCTTAGCCTAAGATAATACAGACTTTAAGTATGAGGGTTAAGAGACGGTGAGACCCTCAGAAGAAATGGCTCATCCCAGAAGCAAAGGTGTGGACTCCTCAGAGAAGCAAGACACAGGCAAGTGTGGGTGTGTGTGGTGATAGTCTGTAATCTAACAAACAGAGCTTGCCTGAAGATCAGAGTGCAGAGCTAAGCCACTAGAGGCCATCGAGGCCAGGCCGTGGTGGCACACGCCTTGATCATAGTACAGAGACAGAGGCAGAAGGATCTCTATTAGTTCAAGGCCACCCTGGGCTACATGGAATTGATCCAATCTAAAAGAGAAACAGGGCTCACACAAAGGTGATCCCAGCACTTGGGGTCTCGCGCCTTTAATCCCACTAGGAAGGTGGAGATAGGAGTGATGTGGCTGGGCAGAGAGAGGAGTATAAGGCCGAAGGAGACCAAAGCTCAACCCATTCAGTCTGAGGATTCGTAGAGAGAGGATCTTGTTCCCTTTGATCTGAGGATTTGGTAGAGGTAAAAGGTCTCTCTAGTGGCGAACTCCTTTACTTCTCTGATCTTTCAGCATTTATTCCGATATCTGACTCAGGGTTTTTATTATTAAGACCAATTAGAATTCACACTAGAGATTGGGAGTCTCTTGTGGGACTTGTCCCTTGTTATTCTTTTCGATGCTAACAGGTAGGTTTTGAGGCTGGCCAAGGAGCCTGAAATCTGAGATGACAGGGAGCTTTCAGAGGGTTCCTGATAGGATTACTGCCCGTAAGACAGGGATGGAAAGTTAGTAGCGATGCTGCATGTGCGCAGGCAGGCGGGGGTGTGTGCTCATGTGTGCGTGTGTGGTGATGCTCTATGCAAGGGCTCACACATTCAGACCTTGAGCCTAGTTCATTGCAATGCTAGCATCCAGTGTCTGTGAAGGAACGCTTATTATTCGTGTGTCCACGTCCACAGCAAATGTAGACGCTGGTGAGGGGCTCCAGGATGGGGTGGTGGCTCCTTTCATTTCCCGTGTCCTAATTTTGTTTCTCTATCTTGCCTCAACTTTCACCTTTTAAACATAGTGCAGTGCTTTTCTTCTGCCAATTTTTAGCCAGGGATGGTGGTCCAAGCCTTTGGACACAGAAACAAGATGCAACCTGCGCTACAGACTAGCCAAATTAAAAGGAACTTAATTTTAAACGTTTTCTCAAAACCCTATTTCCTTGCTCTGAATCGAAGTTGAGGTACACCTGATTTATTCCATGATTAGTTACTGTGGTAGTTCAGTTTCTCTCATTTTTCTCAGTCAGAGTCTTCTTGTTATATAGTTATACTGAGCTTGAACTCCAGGTGATCAATTCTGTTGCCTCAGTCTCTGGATTTCTGGGATTACAAGCATGAACTGTCAAGTCCAGTCTTTACTTAGAATTTTGTAAACTTGTTATCAATCCGATATAGGTCCACACTGTAACCTTGGCTAGCCTCAAATTCGATTACGCAGCAAAGGATGACCTTGAACTTCTGACCTTCGTGTCTCCTACACCCCAGGAGAGAGGATTATTGATGTGGGTCACCAAGTTCCACTTTGATAAAAATTGTATACCTGAATTGATCGGGCGTGGCCTTTCTTGGGTCGGGCTCTGGCGCCCCCTGCTGCTCATTGTGACGCGGGCCACAGGGCCGCTCAGGCGGCGGAGGTCCGGGCGGAGGTCCGGGCGGAGTGCTGGAGTTATGGTTGAGCCGCTGGAGCAGTTGCTGCAGCTGCAGAAGGACAACCGCGACGGCCGCCTGCGGAAGCAGGAGCTGGAGGAGCTGGTGCGTGGGCTGGAAGCCGAGAGTGAGAGCCTCACCGGGCGTCTGGACGAGCTGCGTGAGCGCGAGCGCAGGTGCGAGGGCACCGAGGGCCCGGGGCAGGCTACTGGCAGCCTCGGCTCTGGGTAGTGGGACCTCAGTCTGGAACTCTCAGGCTGGCGGTAGGATCCTGCGCCTTAGTTTCATCCCTGACCCCACCCCCGCCGCGCAGCCTGCAGCGGAGACGAAGTCAAGCGTCGCGGGCGATTCGAGGGGAGGCGCGCGAGGCGGCACGGGAGCGCGCGGAGCGGGCTCGTGGGCTACTGGAGGCCGCGGAGCAGCACCGGCTGGACCTGGTAAGGGCAAGAACAAAAGGTGGGTCCCGGGGTGGCGAGGCTAGCGGAGGGGTCTAGACAGCCTGGACCCTGTCCGCAGGAGCAACACAATCGGAAGCTGCAGGAAGAGTGGGAGGAGCTGTCCAGCCAGGTACGTACGGAATGTCCCAGGTCATGCCCTCGCCCCCAAGTCCCATAAACTATTCACTCACAAACTCTGTCCCTAGCTTTTCTACTATGGAGGAGAAGAGTTGAGTCAACAGCGAGCAGAGCAGCGACTAGGAACTCAGCTTGCGGCACTGCAGGTATTTGGGTGGAGCCTGGGCGGGGCCATGGGCGGGGAGTGGCTGTGGGCAGGGCCGTGCGCTCTTGTGGGTAGAGCACCCGACCTGAAAACCCGGGAGTGGGGGAGACCAAGCCCAGGGACACAGCGGTGTGCGAGGCCTGCAGGTTCTTGATATCACTTGGATTCTTTCGAAGAAACATTTGGAGCTGGCGGAGGCCAAATTCACCATGCAGGCAGAGGACCTGCGACAGGTGCGAACGGTGCTGGGCTCTGAGGAGGGGACGCGTGGAGAGGGCATGTCCTGGCGATGCTCACCCAGGCCCTTGGCTTCTAGGGGGCGCAGCGTACGGAAGAGGCCTGGGCCAGCTTCCAGGAGCAGAGCGGAGTCCTGCAGGTGCGGCCTCTCGGTTCTGAGAGCCGGTCACTTCTAACTCTCTGCGGCCTCAACCCTTTCTCCTCACCGCCGATCCGCGGTGGACCGCATTCTCCGCCCTGAGTCCCTGTTGCCACCCTCCAGGAGCTGCAGGGGAAGGTGATGGAGGCAGCGGCTGCGCTGGAGGCTACGCGTGGTGGCGCGGAACCGTAAGGGTTGGGACAAGGGAGCACGGCAGGGCAGTGCTAAAGCCGGGCCAGGTGGCCCATCTCCGTGCCTATCCCGCAGGTGGAACTCGCAGCCTCGTCGGGTGCAGGACTGCGCGGGCTCACTCATGGAGGAGGTGGCCAGGGCCGACTGTGTGAGCTCGGGCTGGGGCCCGCGGGCGAAGCTGGGACTCAGACTCTACGAGTGACCTGCTTTCTCCGGGAGACTTGGCTAGTTCCTGGCACAGAGCTGAATGCGTCCCTTTCTCTGCAGGAAAATCGGCTGTTTGGCGGTGCGGGCTTGGGGAGCATCAGGTGAGTGGCTAGCGGTGGCCGGATAGTCCGGATTCCGGGTCTCGGAGCCACCACCCACGCGTTCGTTGTTGGTTTCTCAGGTTGTGGGCGCTCAGCGCACTGCAGACGCTACTGCTGCTCCCACTGGGCTTCCTGGCGTTGCCGCTGCTCTACGTGGCGCTGAGGAGGCCCGACACCGTCGGTCAGGGGCTCCCGGGTAGTCTTGGCTCGGACACGGTATTCCGTAGGCTGCGCTATACGCTGTCGCCTTTGCTTGAATTGCGCGCGCGCGGACTGCTGCCTGCTTAGAGCGCATCATGCCGGCTTGGGCCACCTGCTGCACCTCTGTCTCCTTTGTGGTTTTTGGGGTGCCTACCTGTGTGAAAAGGGCGGGGTGGAGTTTGTGTGTTCCTATGGGCCCAGCGACCCCCTTGTCACCTGGGCGCAGGGGTACCTGTCCTCAGGGATACCTGTCCACATCTGGGCTGCTTGAGTGCCCGGACTGTCCTCCAGTCCGACCCCCTAGGGAGTCGTTTGCTACTGTGAGTCTGAGCTTTGGGCAGGATGAGTACTGGCCTGTCAAGTTCCCTCCGTGGTGTGTGGATTATTTTCCCCGGAATTACTCCAAATCCCCCGCAACATTGGGGTTCCCCTGGGCAGGTTCGAGTTCGCCAAACCCAAACTTCCTCACAGCATCTGAGCACACGGATTGTGTGTGCTTACCACTGTGGGCTTCCTGAGAAACGTGCTAGTGTATACGAGGAATGTCTGCTCAGTGGAAATCAATCTGGGTTGAATTTTGATCCTGTACATATAAGCTCTAGACTACTTACTTATTTGGTGGGGCGGGGGTCTCAGGTCGTTCCAGCTTTGACCTCACAATGCAGCTGAGTGATCTTGAACTACTGATAATCTTGCCTCTGGCTCCTGAGTGTTTGGATTGCAGACATGAGCCACCAGGTGTGGTTTATTCTGTTCTGGGGATCGAACTAAGCATTTGTGAATGCTGAACTATAACCACGCCATTTAAACAATTATAGCTTTTCTGATAAGTTTATTGGCAACATGCTTAATGGCCCGACAAAATGGTCAATGAAGATGAGCATGGAGAAAGCATCTGTTGTGATTAAGGTTAATCGCACCCAGCAGCCTATACACTGTCCATTGAAGTCTTCAGCTCTTCTGCTGGGGTGATGCTGTATGGCTGTCTTGCAAGCACAAGGATGGAAGTTTGATCCCAAGAACCCATGCAAAAAAGCTGGATGTAGCTTGGCGGTGGTGGCGAACACCTTTAATCCCAGCACTTGGGAGGCAGAGGCAGGCGGATCTCTGTGAGTTCCAGGCCAGCCTGGTCTACAGAGTGAGCTCCAGGACAGGCTTAAAATCAACAGAGAAACCCTGTCCCAACCCCCTGCCCTCCCAAAAAAAGCTGGATGTGGTGGTTGTGTCAGTGACCCCAGGGCTGGAGAGGTAGAGACAGGGGCATGTTAGGGAGCTCCAGCCAATGAGAAACTGTCTCAGGAAACTAAGTGGGGGCTAGAAAGATAGATGATTAATGGCATTTGCTAACCCTTTTTATTTTATGTGCATTGGTGCTGTGTTTGCATACATGTCTGTGTGAAGGTATCAGATCTTGGAGTTACAGCTGTGTTTTCACCTGCCATGTGGATGCTGGGAATTGAACTCAGAGGACCTCTGGAAGAACAGTCAGTGCTCTTAACCACCGAGTCATCTCTCCAGCATCCATTTGCTGCTCTCTCTCTCTCTCTCTCTCTCTCTCTCTCTCTCTCTCTGTCTCTCTCTCTCTCCAATATATATTAGGATTTTTCTGGGTAGCCTGGAACTCACTCTGTAGACCAGGCTGTCCTCAAACTCACAGACTCACAGAGATGCACCTGCCTCTGCCTCTAAGTGCTGGGATTAAAGGTGTGCGCCACCATCACCCAACTTCCATTTGCTGCTCTTAGAGAGGATCTGGGTTCAGCTTAGAGTATTTACACCAGGTGTCTGACAACATCCTGTAACTCTTGTCCCAGGGGGTCCGATGCCCTCTCTGGCCCCCTCACCAAACACCAGGTATGGTCACAGTGCGCAAACTACACTCACAAATAATTTACAGTCTGGTCTACAGAGTGAGTTCCAGGACAGCCAGGGCGTCTGGAAGTGGCCAGGATTACAGGACTGGGCTGCTACTCCTAGGTTTACTTTTGTTTGCTTTCTCAGTTTCATTCCCACCCAGACTCTGCTTCCATTCCTGCCTACTGACTGTCATTTGGGGGCTACTGGGGATGGGCCTTGGGCATGTCAGGCAAGGCAAGAACTCTCACCACTAAACTACAGAGATAAGGAGACAAAGACCATCCTAGGAACGTCTCCCTTTGGAGAGAATGCCTGTTGGGATGAGTCACAGGCCGAGGCTACACACAGCTAGGGCTGAGGTGTTTGCTTAGTATGCATAGGCCCTGGGTTTGATTATCCTACCAAAACCAAAAGCAGACTCCTTAAGCTCGGGAGTGACTCGAAAGGACCAGGAATTCAAGGGTAGCTTCAACTACAGGGAGGTAGGTTTGAGGCTAGCGAACAAAGCAAATGTAGCACATTTGGGGTTTTTTATTTTTTCCATGTTTACACAAGAAAATACTTCATGTACCCATGTAGTAAGACAGGTGAACAAGTGGGGAATGTGTCCAGTGCAAACAGAGACTCACACCTGTGCTCTCACACCTGCACATACAGCATACTGTTCAGTCTCCTCAACAAGGTTCTGTGCTGCTGTCAGCACCACGTCCAGGCTGCTCCGGGGCAGCAGAGGTTCCAGCTGCCTCAGTAGGGGATATCGTTCTGGTAGTACTGGATCATGTCATAGGTTCGGCTCCTGGAAGGCCAAGCAGGAGAGTGAGGAGCCTCATCTCTCAGAGCCCTTCCCACCTGCTTGCCCTTGGCAAGGCTCAGGGCCGGTGGGTGACTTGCCTGTTGCTGAGGAAACAGTTCTGGATGACCTTCATGATAAAATTCGCTGCCTCTCGCTCTGTCATGTTAGGGCTGAATCTGTGTCTGGGGAGAGATGAAAGGCTGCATTTGTGGGAACCTGTTGAGGCCCCTTCTTCTGGTGTGACCTAGTGTGGCCCCTGATCTTTCCAGCAACTACTACGCCACTTGGGGAGCTCAAGGCCATCTTGCTGTCCAGGAAGCCTATCTGCTCTGGGGTTCCCAGGACACAAAAGGTTTCTAGGTAGAGCCCCAGCACAGTGACAGCCCTTCCCCAAGGCACCTACTTCAAAAGCTTGATTGTCTGGCCTCGGAAACAGGGCAGGCCTGTGTCCAACATGAGTGTAACTAGGGAGACGACGGCATCCATGTAGGGCCTGTGGAGACAGCAAGGGTAGGAAACAAAGCCAGCCTGAGCAGGGACCTGGCTACCAATCATAGGATCCACCTCTACTTTCCACCCATTTGGCTTGCCTCCCTCAGCCATGCTCACGCAGCCTGTATGGCTGAGTGTCCTTCCCTATCCCCAGCATGCCAGGCTTCCAGCTGCGGTTTCAAAGATGCTCTGTTGGACTTAACCACAGTAGCATGTGGAATGTCCCATCTGGTTGATGTCAGTCTATCATGTAGCTTTGGAGGTGCGGGGGCTACAGTGAAAGGGTGGCCAGGAAGTCCAGAGGGGGAACCCAAGGCTGGAGGGTGCTGGCAGATGAGGTCAGTTGTGGGAGACTGCAGGATGGGGCTGGTGGTTCAGAATTGGAAGCTGCTCACAAAGGTAGACTAGGTGATTAGAAGGCAAGGCCCTTCACTTCTTCTTTTTTTTAAAAATATTTATTTATTTATTTATTATGTATACAATATTCTGTCTTTGTGTATGCCTGCAGGCCAGAAGAGGGCACCAGACCCCATTACAGATGGTTGTGAGCCACCATGTGGTTGCTGGGAATTGAACTCAGGACCTTTGGAAGAGCAGGCAGTGCTCTTAACTTCTGAGCCATCTCTCCAGCCCCCGGCCCTTCACTTCTTAAAGATTTACGGCTGGGTGGTGGTGGCACACACCTTTAGTCCCAGCACTTGGGGGGTAGAGACAGATTTCTGTGAGTTTGAGGCCAGCCTGGTCTACAGAGTGAGTTCCAGGACAACTGGAGCTACATAGTGAGACCTTGTCTTGAAACAAAAAATTATCTTTATGTGTGCGCACGTGTTTGAGCGTATGCATGTATGTGTGGGCAGTGGATGGGGGAGCTGGGGTAACAGGCGTCTGACTGTAGTCAGCCACCTGATGTGAGCGCTGAGCCGCCCTCACTACTACTGAGCCTGACTCCCTCCTCCCCACCTTCACATCCCTTCCATGTGGCCCATGGGCTCACCGCACAGCCAGATAACCTCGGACACACATCTCCATGAACCACTTGAAGGGTGTGGCTTCCATCTTGCCCCCCATAATCATCACCATTTCATCTGTCAGCTTGATGTCTGGTTCCCAGCCAAGGTTGCCACCTGGTGAGCTTTCGAACATGAAGCCAAAGTCTGCAAAATCCCAAAAAGCTGCCTGTAACTGGGGTAGGAGTGAGGTCAGGGGGGTTTATTTCTAGCAGAGAAGGCCTCAGCTACAGGGGCCTGAGTGGGGGAGGAGGAGCTCATGCCAGGCTAGAGCAGAGGCATTCCACCAGCTTCCCGTCTACCCAGAGTGTGGGCTACCATTCTAGTTCCCAGCCCCCTAGGGCCTGGCTGGGCAAAGGGAAGGTAGAGTGGCACAGCCTGGCTGACCGATGTGGATGATGTGACCCTTCTTGTCCAGCATGATGTTGCCATTGTGCCTGTCCTTGATCTGCAGCAGGAACAGTAGGAGGCTGTAGGCAGCCATGCTTCGGATAAAGTTGTAGCGTGCCTGTGTGGAGAGGGCTGTGGTCTCACCCTGGCTCTGTGTGACTAAGGCAGAGCTCACAGCAGTGAGTACAGCTGTGTGGAAAGCAGACAGCAGCACTTTCTGCAACCACGGTTCTAGGCCTCTCTTGGGGACTGCTTTAGCTCCTACTAGAGGCAGACAGGAGGAGGTGAGCTGAGGCTGTGGGGTTAGCTACCTGCTGGAAGGCCAGGGTAGACTCATCCCCATACTGGCGTGTGAAGTAGTCATACATGCCGAAGTCAGTTTGGCGGCCCAGCTGGTCTCGGGAGGTACAGTCCGGTATGCACTCAATCACCCCGCACTGGAAGGGAGGGAGAAGGGACAGTCAGGTGGGAGCAGTGATGTGCTGGCCCCGTTGCCTATCACACTCCAGGAACTCACCCCAGGGGCGGTAGCCACCACCCGGTAGGGAAAAACAAAGAGGTCCAGGCCGACCAGCTGGAAGATGTTCTTGAAGAGGTCAATGATCTGCAGAGCTAACATGTCCTGGACCGGAGAAGGCACAGGGTGCAGTCAGGGTCCTTTCTTCAGCCCTGGGACCACTCAGAAACTAGTCGCCCTCGAGGTTCACAGTGGGGACGAGGGCAGGCTGTGGCCAAATGACAGCCTAGAGGTCTGGCCTCACTGCCCACCTGGCTGGGCTGTCACAAGATTGCCCTGAGGATGTGGGAGTGAGGCCGTCCCTGATGGTGCAGGGTGGGCCTGGGAGCAGGGGTTTCTGGG